GTCGCGCGGCTCTCCCAGCAGGGACAGCAACAGACGAGACTACAACGGACGGCTGAACTTCTGCCAAGATGCGGAAGACCAACGTTCCTCCAATCACAGTACCTGCCAAGCTCACAGGATCAGATAGTAGTTCAATGCAAAGAAGAGGCTGCGAAAGCTTTCGAGCGCTGGCTAAAGACAGTACCGGAAAGCCATATGATCGTCTTCTCGGACGGCTCCAGGGCGACGAACGGAGCCGTGGGGTACGGCTTCGTCATCTACCGAGACTCCAAACGCATAGCGCAAGGGTGCGGCCGACTCGGACTAGCAGAAGTGTTCGACGCCGAGGTCGAAGGGGCGCGAACCGGCCTCAGAAGGGCTCTGCTCACCAATCGCGGTCATCCAATCCACATATGTATCGACAACACCAGCGTTATACAAGGCATCCGCGGCAAGGCGCCGGACTCGTCACAAGACGCGTTCCTCGAAATCCAAGAAGCGGCCAGGATATTTGATATACGGACGCACTGGTCCCCGGGACACCAGGGCATCGAAGGAAACGAGGCCGCGGACCGGCTGGCCAAAGAAGGAACGACACTGCCGGCGCGGATGGGTCAAATGGCAACACTAGCGGGCATCAAGCGGCTTGCAAGGGAAAAATTACAAAGCCAGCACAGGAGATGGTGGTATAAAGAGCGAAGGCCGCGGTACGCGGACTTGGGGCTTGAGGCAGCTCTGTCCAGCCCTCCTGAACTGGCCTTGCCGCGGGCTACGTTACATCACCTGCTGGCGGCACGATCGGGTCACGGGGACTTCGAGCAATATCACCGACGTTTCAACCACGACGACGCTCTAATGATGTGCTCTTGTGGAGAGGCGAAAGACGTGGACCACCTGGTCTACTGTCGACTAACGCTGGCGAGGAGGCAACGGTGGCCGACCCTCCACTCTCGCAGTATGCCCGAGCCCATAGGTCCTATGGGATCTCTCGAGGCCTACTTCAAGAGATTAATCACCGACCCACGAGGCTTCGAGGCCTTTCTCCGCGTGACGGACTTCTTCCAGAAGATCTGTCTGCGGTAGCAGCATCCACACCTAGGTAGATGTGAGTGCGGACTACAAAGAACCTCCCGATTCCAAGGGACGATTTGGGAAAGAATGAAACTGGGGCACCAGCGGGAACCGGGGACAGACAGAACGCGTAGTGGCCACAAGGCATGATTTGGAGGACGATGTAAAGAGACGACGTACTGTAGAGTAGGTAGCCTTGGCTCACGGCCCTCCACGCCATATACCCTTCGGGAGGTCTGCGGTAAGGGCTCTAGCCCGGCCGCCACGGCGTTAAATACAACAACAACAACAACAACATCAAAGAACGGCGACGCACCACTCAGGTTGGATGGGGCTCAAGTCAACGCCAATGACCTATTCAATGTCAGACTGCTTCTCTCAGTTGCCTCCAAAGCTTATTCCCTAACCTCTGCATGCAGAAATTTGTCCGCTAAAGCGACGTGTTAGTGGCACGAGACCGTGATTTCATAATTAAGCCTGACGAACCAAAATCAATGGCCCAGATTCCGGTTCCAGTTCCCATATCCAACACCCGTTTTGCGGTCTTGTGCGCAGGGCACAGGGCTAACTGTTCCTCGAGCTGTAGCAGCCAGATTCGATGTTGCAGATCTAGGATCAGTTAGCGACTCGCGGAAATCTCATGTGTAAGGCCAGAAAGGTAAATTATTCGCTTACCGAGGCGATCGTTCTCAGGCTTCAGCCAAAGCGTTAGATCAGCATAGGGCCCAGGATCAGCATCTTGCTCACCTCATCATTGGGGAAGCTATACTCTGCTCAAAACATTAGGATATGCTCTCGCAGAGTCTGAATAAAGTGGGCACATACTTCCCGAGCTCATGGAGTGATACGTCCGTCCATTCTCAGCTTGATGCTCTAGGATACTCGATCTCAGAGAGGCTAGCGACGAATGCTCGGAATGCTATCAGGTTATCAGACAGTCGTTAGCTCATGTGTCAGTGCTAATGCAAATCTGTAGAATGCAACTCAAAACTCACGTCATCTCCATATTCCGACGTCGGGTCATCCGCCGGCGTGGCTGACTGCTCATCCAAGACCTCGTCAGCATACAACCCAGGGGTCCACACATAATAATCCAGTTCATGCTCTTCTTACATTCTGAGGCTCCTGCATGATCTCGGCTTTGACCAAATACTGTATACTAGGTTCGCTGGTTTTCGGCGAGCTTGTGAAGTCCTGACTCAAGACCGACTTCAAATCGGGATAGCACTAGCCAAAGCTTTAGTGAATGGCGGGTTTTTCAAAGTCAAGAAGCAAACAACCCCTCACTGGATCGCTCCCGATCATGTGGAACGTGGCCTCTCTTAAAACAATCTTGTCAATCCCATCGGCTTGTCGTGCTCGCTTAGCAATCGTTGCGGCACAGCTGCGGGGCAAAATCGCTCTGGACCCTGTCGGTGGCAAGGAGAAATGCCCCCAAAGAGCATATCATGAAAGCGAAGCTCAGTTGGTTATAACATAGCCACTGCCAATTGGTTGGATGACACGGGCTGATTAGCGACTTTGGCTAATTGACTGACCTTGGCAAAAGAAAAAACAATTTGTGATTCGAGATAGCGAGTTCCTATCCTTACCGGGCTCATGTGCTGTCGCCGCATGTCCTTATCTGCTGTTGGTAACCCGTCCCCCACAACCCATGGGCAAACATTGTAGCTTACCGCACCCGACGCAAACATCATGCAACGTCTATAGCTCGACCATCAAAATCGCAAAAGACTAAACCCAAACTGCTAATTTCTTTTGCACAATCGGTTGACAGACCATGCCACATTCGCTTTTTCAACGCTTCCCTAGCGACCGCGGTGGTAGTCTTCCACGGCCTCAACAACGATGCTATGACTCTGTATCCGCCCTGACTACAGGTTATTCTTGTCGCCAAGGCACCAACGGCACTCCCGATCTGTGTCACGATAAGTCCCTTATACCTCTTTCCATCTGATGTAGCAAACCATCTTTACCACGAATATTTCCATGGCAAGGGGATTGACAATTGTGTTACGAGTCAAATCAGAGAGGCATTCTGGTGACAAAGTGAGTGAGTACATGTCATGTCTCGTGTGAATTAGCACTACCTCATCTCCCTGAGAGATGCATTTCGCAAGGGGGAAGGTGTGTTTCATGGGCATTACAGACATCGAGTTCAAAAAGAGACTTCGATACTCGTAACCATTGCATAAATGTGACCGCAAAACTTTCTGAAATCCCAAGACAATTCATTTCCTAAGCTGCACTGCCAAATTCGGTCCGAGTGCAATGAGTCAATCGTTCATCTTCAAATAGCCAAGTCAATCAAGCTCTTGCAATCGATATCGCCGGTGACTTTGTAGGTTGGTAAATAAACATGCACCTACCATGAGACAACCGTCGGGCGCAAGGTCTCTGTCTAGAATAGGTGGAACACTATTGTACTTGTGAGGCAATCCTGGAAGTCCCAGTTGATGAGTTCTCTCGGGGCTGCCAACACTCTGCAACTGATCAGAACGTGACTCTGTTAATTCAAGCCGCATCTACCATTGTGTCTACAACGAATTCGTAATTGCCAAGCAAGCAAAAGCCACTTGAAATATGACATGTCTTAGGCACGAGGTGATAAGCCTATCCGGCACAGGATTTTACACACCGACTCTATCTGGGATCATTATGGCTGAGACCCTACTCACATCTAAGGCGGCATTTCCAAGAGATGCGCCTCAGACTGACATTGCGATGGCGCCATTCGCCCATAGAGTGGGGCCTGATGCATCAGACCTGCAACATCAAACGATTGCGCCCATACAAAAGTCATATCTATGATAATAAACTTTTTGCTACAGCGGTGAGAGCGGTTTCGAGCGTGAAACCTCACAAGTCACCATTAATAGACTGCCGTAAGCATGGTGCCATACGCGACGGTATTCTACTACTTCTCATGGGCCACGCTGTACGCTTAAGCCGCCATAGTTGACGCGATGAAGGCGAAGACCAAATCGTAGCAAGGCGTGGTAAGCAACTGACCAGGTTTCCGACTGTCTCCGCTGTGATGCCGTCCTCAGTCCTTGGCGAACAGTCAGACGGATCATTGCTTAACTTCACTCTGCTATGAAGCAAGCAATCATCAAGTAATGGACATATCATCCAGTCCCTCTCTGGACAGTCTTTTTATTCGCCGAAAGTTCCTGCAAAGGGTTAGTCCTTGCTATGAGACACCACAACGGCAGCCCGATACCCACCAAGCGAGGGGTCAACCGCGGTTTTCATTGAAGCCATACCTGTCATCTGCATAGAAGCTACAGGCTAAGATTCAATGCCACACAAAGCATCAAAATAGATCGGCGTATAGAGAACGTTGGAACTCTCAAGCGCCTATGAGAGGATGCTGCACTTGATTGGTCTTGTTTACGATGTTTATTAATTTGGGCTGATCTGTTTCAGCTCAGCTTTGGCTCTTTTGCCTACACACGAATGTGGAATGAAATATGTGACCAGATGCGAGCTAGTACTGGTGATTGATCGGCGTCCATATGATCCAAGCCGGACAATGCTGCTTGCTTGAGCAGCACGCACAAGGAATGATACTTTCGATTCGCGGATACTGTCTCATGTCGTGATTCAGGTCAACCAGATTGGGCCGGTCAGCAAATCGAGATTGTGGAAGAACTATAAAAGAGGGACACTTGGACATCGATACAACCTCAACTTCACCCACTCATCTCACACTCTCATCATCTCAGAATTGCACTGACTCTAAGATATTCCCAATCTCAGCATTAATTCCCACACACAAAGGTAAGTGGCTCACATCGCTAATGGGTAAGTTCAACACTAATATGGCATCTGCAGATGCCTTCTGCTCCGGATTTATCAAGGCCATTGCCGGAGGGAACAAGTTCACTTCGACATTCATCATCGATGATATCCAGTATCACTTCAGTGGAAGCTTCAACCCGGCCGTCCAAGACTTCACATCCAACGCGGCGACGCTGGAATATGAGTCACTCGGGAGTTTGACCAGCAATCGTGATTTTGATGGCAAGGTCGGGACCCAAACCGTCACGCTCGAAGTTGCCAATGGCCCCAAGCTCACTGGCAACCTCCAACTACCAACCAATCCAGCGTCTCGGGTGTCTGGAACCGGGACTTGGTCGCAGAACTAGTTCTCCATGTTGTCCGTAGGTGTCACACTCAATGCGAAGCGTTGCATCTTGAGCGCCTGTTTGAGGCTCAAGCAAGGGTATGAACAAAAATCATAGAGCCATGCTTGGTCGAGGGGATCGGACACTCATTTTATCGATACGAAATGCCTGCCCACAGTCATTCTTTGGTCAGACTCATCAATACCGAAAGAGGGCACCTTATATATACCTGCTCATAAATGAGCTGCTGCTCGATAGTCGTGAATTTTGTATGTTTGAGCTAGTGCCATGACTGATTTTGAATTGCTTCACCATTGTCACTACACTTCTAGACGGCTCTTGACGTCATTCGGCGGCGCACTGATCGTCCCATAAAGATGGCACGATTATGAGTGCTATCGGAAGGTTATGCTGCTTGTAGTATTCCTTCATTGATCTATTCGCCTTTAGGGCCAAGGAGATTAAGTAGCCACAGAACCCTGAAACTTCTTTGAAAATGTTTTGCTCCTCGAAATCCCTTGCTCACTCTTGTACTCGCTTTGCGTAACTCCAGCTGGCACCCGAGTTCCATCTTCCCACGCCTTCATGCTTATTGACAACTTCTGAACCCTGTGATGGTCAAAGGCACCATTCCCTGGGCAGTTTTATAAAATCGGCCAGCTTGTTGACAGGCTGCCACACCAACGACTGGTCCCTAATCTTTGAACGTGCAGGCTTCTGAGATGTATCCGAATATGAATTTGGGTTGCCCGTGCCAAAGAAAGTGTGGCAAATTCCTGGACGACACCGGTATGATAAACACATGGGTCAATACGCCGCATCGTTGTCGATCAAACAATGTAATAAGCGATAATCAAATAGGACTTATAAATCAGTGCGCAAGAGCGGTAACGGAAATTTCCAGTTATGTCTGTTGAATTCAAGTATTTCCATCTTAAACAATGATCTAAAGTGGCCGAAAACAAACAAAAAACACCGAGGTAAGGACTGGGAAGCAGAGTCAAACGGAAGTAAAGGAATGTGAGGTTAGTGGGTAGAGATAGGTATGGTGAAGTAGATCGAAGCGTGAGAATGTTGGAAAGGAATGAATAGGAGTGGTTTTGCAGGCATCAGCGAGAAGTATCGGGCTCACAAACATCCCTGGCTCTAGGATCCGTGCTCCGCAGGCTCCTATTTCTTCTTTGCCTCTTCCTCCTCGAGCTCCTTCTCCCACTTTTTCCATTTATCTGTGACCGCTTTTGCGTTAGCGTACGCAAGATCGCGCATCTCGCGATACACCCGCAAGTTGCCGCCCCACAAATCTGGGCGACGGAAGGAAGGGACCTCAACGTCAACTTTCTTAGCTAGTTGGTGAACGAAGGGCATATCATCGACTCCTTTCCATTCCAAGAAGAGCTTTTTGACCACCTCAAATGCAAGCGCGTCGAATTCTTTGATCTTGTCGAGGTCAGTCTCCTTAGCATGATCCTCTTCCTCTTTTACAATCAACGTATTGACAAAGTCAAGGAGGTTGATGCTGCGGTGGAAGAGTTGTTTGAGAATGAGGTCGATGTTCTCTAACCGTTCGATGAGGTCCTTTACTCGATCCCATGTCAACGTTCCGTCGTCAAATTGGTTAGCTAACGTTGAGTATCTTGTTTCGAACAGCAGGCGGCAAATTTTCTCAAGTGATCGTGCAGCTGCTGATTTATGACGAAATAGGTTTTTGGTATTGTCGCCTTGCTGAGCCGCAAGGAATTTGTCTTCATCTACGTGGCGCTTGATCTTTTCCACGTAATCTGTGAGGAAGTTTCGTTCTCTTGCCTCCCATTGCCTCCTTTCCAAAGAGCTTTCGGACATGGTTAAAAATGTAGTTAAAAGTTTGTTATATAGTTACGATAGGGGCATTAACGTTAAATATAGAGAACGGTTATCTATTAAAAGTAAGAAATAGGTATAAAGCTTACCCTAAAATAGAGGGTACGAGCGAGTATAGAGCTTAGTAATTATATAACCGAGGTTATATAATATATAATAAAGCTATAGATAGTTAAAGCTATTATAATATACCCCCCTAAATAAATCCTCGTTTAAAAAAAGCGCGCTTAACTATTTATATTATTATAAAAAAGCCTACTAAAAACGGAAATTTAAATAATACTATATAAAAATCTATTTATAAAAAAAATTATAAAATAAATCGCTTTATATATTAAGTTATAGGCGTAGGGTAAATAGGTAGTAGTTTATTAGCTATGTTTATTATTATAAGTAATTTTAAAAGTCTTTTATTAATAGAAAGTAAAACCGAGGGGCGGCCTTTTATTAACTAAATAATCGACTTATAGTTTAAAATAAGTAAATAAATAAATACTTTATAGCCGCCCTTTACTTTAATTTTTTTTTTATAACTTTTATTTATATTATAACTATAACGTATGTAATAAGCGAGTGAAATAAACAAGCGAGTAAAATATAGAACCGCGACTATATTATATAAATTAGTAAATCTTAACGCCTACTTTATTAATTTAATGAAACTATTTAGAGTCCTTTTCCTTAGATATTTCTTTATTAAATTAATATGTTTGCGTATTGTAACTAGTGTTCCTATAGACGCTATATCGTCGTTAGCCCGTTTTAGTCCTCGGTCGGCGACTATTACTCCGGCGCGTTTTCTTTTTTACCTAGGCTATAGCCTCTCTTTACGACTAAAGGTCCTCTCCTTTAGCTATAATAAAACTTCCTCCTTATTAAAGACGGTTTTTTTTAGCTCTCTAGCGTCGACTAAATAGGTTATTCTCCTCTCGAAGGATCTAGTTCTCGGATCTTAATAAAGCGATCTAATATATAAACCCACGAGCCCCTTTAAATAGATGCTCTATAGCTTTAATAATCGAAGTTGGGGAGCTATTTTAATAACGGGCGATTCTATTTTTAATAAATTATAATTATAAAGATGCCTCGGTTAGGTTATTTAGTATTTAAGAAGTCTATACCGGGGGTATTATTAAAAGGGATCTTAGAAGCGTCGGAGTACATAACTTTACGTTAAGCTTTAAAG